CCCCCCCCCCCCCTCCCCTCAGCCACGGAACCGCTTTCCCCTCCCCTCCACAGTCTCACACATCCTACTATGCCTCTCTCCCCTCATGGGTTGGCACTAGCTATGCATAGATACTAGCTATGCATAGATACTAGTTCTGCATAGATACTAGCTGTGCGCATCGAGAAGCTAGCTAGTATTGGCGGGTTTCGATGACTGGCTACCGTGGATATGTCATGGGGTGACGATGGACCTGATAGGTTATGAGGGGGTGCATGCATGTCGCTTCGCACGTACATCACCATTCAGTTTCCATTGCATTTCTCGATCGGGCAGGGGGAGCGTCGGATATTTATCACCTAGCCATCTGTTTCCGTGCATTATCGCCCACTGCCTGTCGTCTCACGTAGCGCAACAGGTCTGCAGAGATCGGAGATGTGATGATGTGGCCGAGAAGCCGATGGAGAGGAGACTCCCCCGTGGCCGCACAGGTCGGCAGCAAGACGTACAGCTTGCGTGCAATGTCAACTTCTCGGATAAGGGCCTCCCTGGTAATACCGACCATCCTCTCCTTCCTCTCCCCTCCCCTCTTCTTCCTCGGGGCCCCCTCTCTCTGTGGAGAGGATCTCGTCGTCACTTGGCTCGTTCTGATATTATTGCCCGCACTCGCTCCGCACAGAGCGGCAGGCACAGGCCAAGGAAAGAAGAGCACGGTCCCCCCCCCTCATCCATCATGCATCCTCCCCGCGACCTTCCCCAGAGTAGTGATATATATTCATCGCCAGCAGGCAGGCAGCACGTGTACATGGGTAGAATAATACCGCGTACGCGAATTCTACCCGCTCGGGCACTCGGGCAGGCGGATCGCTCTCCCATTCTACCAACGGAGGAATATCGTCGTCGTCAATCTTTCGGGACCGCATGGTCGTCGTTGGCTCGTCACCCGACCCCACCCCCCGCGCGCGTGTGACTGTGGGGAGGAAGGACTCTGGAATATGAGAAGGGAAGGAGAAGGAGAGACTCGGACTTGAGGAGGGAATCCTTATCCCTAGCGGTGTGCGCTGTGGGGGAAGACATTCGCAGCGGTATTGCCACGACTCTACGTACGAGGGCAATCGAGGAGAGACGCGTTGGATTCTGTGGCGCAGCATGAGAGCACGTGCGAGAGCCAAAAGGTATTGCTCGACAAATCATGCCACAACAGAAACAGTTTCCCATGTCATGATATATCATTTACCAGGCCAATGTCTCTGCATCTAAGCCGTGCATATGCATGCCTGTCGTAGAGGTTTCGGAACTCAGTTTACATTCTGTTCACTCGTACATGTATGATCTGTGGTTTTACATAATACAACATGCAATCGCATGATTGAGTCTCACACACAACACCCCTTGGGGTCTACATATCTCTCTCTGTCCAAAGGCATCCATGCATCAATGCCAGGCTGTTCACTCTAGACTGACAATGCCTGGCAGACCTCTGCCGCATCATGTAAGCGACATCAGATAATATCAAGCGAAAGCCTGAGATTTCTTTGTCGTGAAGCTGGCTGTGCCGATTCTTGCCTCTAGGGTCGATATACTGTTTTCAGATGTCCTCGGCTTCTTCTTCAAGACCGTAAATCATAAACCGGAACAATGACAGCTCCCGGGTAGGCAAGATTATCGACGTCCGGGAAGTCGTACATATGTCAACAGCTCGTGACCTTTTTTTTTTTAAAAAAAAAAAACTAAAACTAAAACTAAAAAAAAAAAAATCGATTAAGCAGTAACGTTTGAGCATCGTTGTTTTTTCTCTTCTCTCTTCTCTATTTATTTTGTGGTGGGGTTCGGGGTTTGGGGTTTGGGGGGGAGGGGGGTGGTTGGTTAGTATGTTAAGGAAACGATGACAAAGCAATCAATCATAGCAGAATATAACAATCCGAGGTGAGATGGGCCGAAAGAAAAAAAAAAGAAGAAAAAAAAGGAACGGAAAACATGGTGGGGAGGGGGGAAAACCCCGCCTCTTGCCGGAAAGCGCATATGCCATTCCTCCCCAACGATTTCCGTTAGTGAGCTCTTCCTGTCCGGGGGGAGGCAGAATTTCGAATTTCGACGGAGGGTAGACATTGCATTCTAGCCAGAGGCACGTCCCGCAACCTGCCTCACCCTTGGGATCGACCAAGCAATACGGCTTGTCCTTGTAGCAGGACCCGGCCGCTCAGGAGGCCATGTCAGCCTCCGCATGACACTGCCAGAGGTCGGCAGGACCTGCTGCTGCGGTGCCCGTATCCGGGTCCTCGAGGCTGCTGATGGCAGGTCCAGGTCGATGAACAGAGTGTCAGGACCGGCGAGATTGAGTATAATCTCCTCAGACGGATCGGCATCGAGCCATCAAGATCCTCCACTCCTGGGTATACGACTACGACGAGGAGGAGTGGCAGTGGCAGGACGTCCAGTTCGACGGCGTCATGCGTAACTGTAGTGTCACCTTCCAGGTATTGGGGGGCTTGGGGGGGGAGCCCGGAAACTTTCTCTCGTCAATCGCGGGTTGCCCCCATGTGATTCCTCGAGCTTTCCGGCTGGTACCTGTGACGCTGGCATTGTTCGACCCTAGCTGGGAGGCCGCCCTCCGAGGGGGGAGGACTGCTGGTTCTTCTCTCTCTCGTCTGTCAACTCTCTGTACGTTCGTATATAGATTTCCTATCTGGTACTCCGCATATATATATTCTCTGGACAGATAATGGCAGGCCACTTCTCCGGACAGCATCGCACAGGATGGGCGGCGCCATCAGTAGATGCCCGGGATGATCCTCCATCGGACAATCTTCTTGTACTCCTCCCAGTCCTTCCCATACTTGCGGTGGCACTTGACGTCGTCACGGCCGTCGCGGTGGATGAGGAGGACGGCAAAGTAGACGATGTAGAAGTAGGCGATAGGGACGGCCCAGCCGGCCGCGTCGCCGGACACGACTTCGCGGCCGTCGGCCATGACGTGCGCGCCCTCCGCACCGGTGCCGGCGGCGAGGATCTGGTAGCCGGCCAGACCGGTGGGGAGGCAGTAGGCCCAGGATTGGAGCCAGTCGCCAAAGTAGTTGATGTGGCGGGCGACGCCCCACCAACCCGAGGTGATGAGCTTGCTGCCCGTCTTGGTCCTCATGTAGGTCAGGTGGGCGACGCGGGGGTCCTTGTCGTCGGTGCGGAAGCGGTTCTTCTGGTTGTTGGCGGCGCGGAAGATGTAGAAGCCGACGCCGATGAAGGCGGCGACGACCGCGAAGCGCGCGGGGCCCATGCTGACCGGGTGGACGGACAGGTAGCGCGCGGGCAGAGGGTAGGCAAAGGTCTCCCACACGAAGTCGGCGAACGACAGCATGAAGCCGAAGCCGTCGGTCGTGATGTCCATGGTGGTGAGGATGGCCGTCTCGTTGACCCACGAGTCGATGATGTACAGCGCTTGGATCACGGTGATGAAGACGATGCTATCCGTCACGCGGCCAAAGGTGCGGTACTGCTTGGCGCAGAAGGAGCAGTTCATGATGATCCAGCCCAGCATGCCGGGGCGCAGCTCAAGCCACTCCTTCAGGTCGATCTCGCCGATCCAGGGGAGCGTCACGCGCGGGTTCAGCTCCCGTCCGATAAACCAGTCGTACAGGAGGTTGCCGGACTGGCCACCTGCAGCGAGCTCGCGGTTCTCCTTGTTCCCCGGCTTGATGCTGAAGCTGTGCACGTACACGGCCACGGCGACGATGTAGGAGATGATCAGGTTCGCCGTGATCAGCTGCAAGTAGTTTTGGTCGAGGAAAGTCCAGACCACGAAGTCGGCGCCCTGGGCAGCAGTGCCGGCCGCGAGGGCACCAAGGATGGCGAGGTGGCAGTAGAGAGCTGTTGTTTTTGCAAGGTCAGACCGCTCTCTTCCCAAAACAGCATCCTGTCAAGTCATCGGGGGTGGGGGGCAAGGAGATCGGCATACTGTTGAAGCGATACTTGAGACGTCCACCAGACCTCAACACGGTACCCTCCATCTCAACAGCTGGCAGGACCTTGTACAGGACAGCATTCAGCAGCACATATCCGATCGACACGGCGACAGACTGCCAGTTGAAGAAGCCTGCCAGGCCATCCTCGGGCCATCCGACCTCGCGCTTCAGCTGCTCGAGCTGCAGCGTCCTGGGGCTGAGCAGAGACGGGGCCGGGCAGCCGGAGATGTCGTTGCAGACGAATGTGAAGACGTAGACGAGGATCGGGAGACCAAACGAGATGCCAAAGGCGCCGATACTAGAATGCAGGAACAGATGATGCAATTAGCCTGGAGGGGTTTCCCCAGAGGATGGTGCTGGTAGGCGGGGGCGGTTGTGCGGTGGCGGTGGCTTATGCATGGGGACAGCTGGGCAGTAGTAGCAGTAACTTACGGGCCGCCAAACTCGTAGCCGTGCTCCTCAAAGGGTGACGCTCTGCGAGCTTTGCGAGGCATGATGACGACGATTCGGATCTGTTCGGCTGGGAAGTCCTCTGGAGAATGGAAAGGAGGCAGAGAAGAAGGAAAGACGAGAAGAATGGAGGAGATGTATGCTTATGCGACCGACCGGTGAGACACCGATTGGTTAGGCAGGAAAGGGGAAGAAAAGAAGAAGGGAAAAAGGAAGAAAAAAAAGGAAGAAAAAAAGAAGAAAAAAATACAGGGTTGGAAGCTCAGGCTCCTGGCCGGCGCGTCGTAGATCCGCAGAGCAGCGCGTCGTTCGATTCGCTTTTCTCCGGAGGGACGGCTTAGGCTTAGGAGAGAGGGGAGAGTAGCTTGGGTGGGAGCTTGGGGAGCTCTAGGCTTGATGGTAATGGTACACGTACATGTTAATGTACTCCGTACAGTCCGTGTCAGATGCTGAGGATTGATAGAGAGTGTCGTAACGTAAAACGTATCAAAACGGATTACGGTGTCCGAGGCCTCTCCACCGTAATGTGCTTCATGTGGCTAGTGGCAACCGTCAGCCACCCCAGACTGTGCACCCGTTGTATTAACCCCGGCACCCTTACCGGATAAAGAAGTTGTTCCGCTCCGCCCTGGAGGCCGACCCTGGACCAACCGGGAAGCGTTTCACCAATGACCAATGACATGATGCGACCCCTGCACCCGCGACAGGCCGACAGAGAAATGACAGTCTGGAATTAAGCCTGCATTTCGGGCTCTGTGGTTGACTTGTCAACTTGAATGGTTTCTTCTAACTCTAAGTCTTCAAATCCGTGTACTCGTCGAAAACCCTCATCCAGTCTCGTCTTACTCCCCTCCCCGAGACACGGCTCTTATCCTCTACGGCGAACGGACGACAGAACGAGAGAAGGGGGAGACAATCACATGCTCTGCCATCCTTTCCTCTAGTCTGACGGCACTGGCGCATATCCCATCTTTCCCTCACGCCTCCATCCCACCAGACCGACCCCTCAGATACGACCCTCCCCCAAACATGCGCAACTTTTCATCAAAGACGGCAGCCGTCGCTCTGGCGGCAGCAGCATCGGCACTTCTATTCGCAACCCCCGCCTCTGCAGATACCTACTACGACGACGACCGGCCTACCTCGACCGTCGCTCTCCCTGCCTGTACGGCCACGTCATCAACCGGCAGCGGCGCGTACTTCGACCTGCGACCAGACATTGCCTACCCAGATGACGGCGACAGGGCGCACAAGTCGGCGTCGCATAAGGACTACCTGTCCAGGGGATACGACTATGGCAAGAACTTCACCATGAACGTCTGCGGCCCCGTCGTCGAGCCTATTACCGGTGTGGTCGGCGTGGACGAGGACCAGTGGGCCGACGTGAGCGGCTATTATATATCCGACGGGGCTATCTACTCGATAGGGTGAGACTCGACCTTTTTTGTTTTTTTTCTCCAGAGAGAGAGGGAGAGAGAGAGAAAGCCTGTGGAGTCGACAGGGGGAATAATGGAAAGAAGAAGACAATACTGATTCGCCTCTGACAGTTCCCGATCCATGGATCTCCGCAGTCGCGGTCGCAAGCTCTTTGTCCAGTACACGGGCGGGTCCCCGTGCGGACCTGATGCTGGGAAGACGACGACGGCGCGCCGCCGCGACGCCTCGCCGGACGTAATCGCCGACAAGACTTCCACGGCGCATGACGCTGTCGGGAGCGATGGAGATGATGACCTCGTCTCCACTCCGCACCCGCACAGGGCGGGCGACAGCACGGTGAGGAGGAAATCGACAATCATCTCCTTCCTATGCGACCGCGACCCCACCGTCTCGGGCACCACCATCTCGTTCGTCGGCACCGACCCGGACGAGTGCGCCTACTTCTTCGATGCCCGGTCCATCCACGCCTGCCCCGCCGCCGAACCCCACAGGCCCGGCAGCGTGGGTCCCGGGAGCATCTTTGGCATCATCGTCCTCGTCGCCATCCTCGTCTACCTCCTCGGTGGTATCTTTTACAACCGCACCATTAACAATGCCCGCGGCTGGCGCCAGCTTCCCAACTTCAGTCTCTGGGCTGGCATTTGGAGCTTTGTCTCTGTAGGTGACCCCCGACTCAAGTCTGGCCTGCCTTGAGACTCTCTCTCTCTCTCTCTCTCTCTCTCTCTCTCTCTCTCTCTCTCTATATATATATATATATATATATATATTTGTCTCTTTTCGAATCTACCCCCTTCCTTTCTTTTTTGTCTGTCTATATTGTATTTATACATCTGAAAAAGGTGAAAGAGAGAAGAAGGGAAAGTTGGGAATCCGAACGAAAACAAACGCGCAAGGGGGCTGACATACATCCCCCCTTGTAGGATCTATTCATCATCGCCATCTTCTCTTGTGCCCGCTGTCTTCCGGGCCGAAGGGGATACTCGTCTCTCCGGAACAGCAGCGCTGTCCATAACTCGCGAGAGAGCGACCAGGAGGACCAGAGGAATGCACTCATTGACCAGCTCGACGAGGAGTGGGAGGATTAGACTCATGACTTTTGGTTTGGGCTTAGGGTATTTCCGTTCCTTTTCTGTCTCTGTCTTTCTGTTCTTTCCTCCTGTTCTTTCCTTTTGCTGTTATTATTGTCATGCAGACATACAGTCACCGTCCCTTTTCTCTGTTGTTTTTTTATACATGTCCTTATTCTCCCCCCATCTTTGTCTTGGGTTTCTGCCTCGATGTGTCTGGGACATGACTATTGTATTCCATGGGCGTTTTCTGTACGAGGCGAAGAGCAATGTTTTCTTATTCATCTTTTCTTTTGTCATTCCATTCTGTCCTCCAAGTACATTCCATAGAGAATACGCAAGAGAGCTCTCTTCTCTCTTCTCTTCTCATCACAAGTACCACCACCGGCACACAGTATTGCAGACGGATACTCTTAATGACAGTCGACGAATGCTGCACTGCTTATATACATAGGCATGCATAGAATCACGCAGCATCTCGAGAGAAGGACTTCCTTCACCAAGCACCTGCAAATTGGTGTGGGAGCACAATGTACACAACAACGCCACGGGGCTCGGCGGAACCGTGACCGCTCTGCCCTATCGGTTAGCTACACACCGAACATCTGTCGTTTGACATTCTATCGACTCTGCTTTCTTCCACATCACATCATGTTTCTATACTGACTCTCCCCTCCATCATCTTCTTCCTGTCCCGTGCGCCTTCGTTGAAGGATCTCTTCCCACCTTACGGATCACCCGCATCTTCCTACTCTAGACGCAGAGAGGGAAAACACGGGGAGGAGGAATGATGATACCGAGAAGAAATGACTAGCAGAAATACTGCCTGCTAACATGTCATGAGCACCCAACCCGTCGGCTGCAATTTCAGCCTACGCACATGCAACCTCCCTTTGGGTGCACACATACATCACACGGGAGACATGGGATGGATGCGCTCCCTCCCCCCCTTCCCCCAACATACTCTTCTTGTATCCGTGGACGAGAAAACTAACCAGGTATCACCAGTCACTCAATAGTAGTATAAACAATAGACGGACGGCCCACAGTCGAAGCAAACCCTAGAGAGACCCCTCTTCCTGACCTGCGCGGTCCAGCCATGAGCCCAGACCGTGGAGCATATAACCTGACGCATCAATGTGCCAGAGTCGCCTCATGAGGCGGGAGACGGCAGCGAGCCAGTTGCTAGCTGGCGTTCCTTGGAGCGGTGAAGACAGGACAGGACAGGACAGGGCAGGATAGGAGAAGAGTACTTTGTGAGTAAAGCCGTATAGGAAGTCGTGGATATATAGCTGATGTCGGATTCCCGCTTCTTTGTCGGCGTGCCAATAAGCCTCCTTCCTCCTCACTGTTTCGTTCTCCAAGACAAAGATAGAAGAAGGTGCTGTGTCGAAGCATTGTGTATTCCATCCTTGTCTGTATGCGTGTGCCATCATGGACGGCGAATACTGCGAGGTACCATCACAGGTAAACATCGCGATACACTACACTCTCACCACCATCCATGCTGATACTAGCCCAACCTGTAAACAAACAAACCAACAAAAAAAGAACATCCACAGCCCCCTCTTCGATTGGGGCAGTAACATTCACGGCCTCGGAGCAGTGGAACCCCATGACGAGACCACCGCATCCTACGGGGGGACGGGCAGCACACTATACGCCGACCACGTACATCCCACATGTGCCGGCCACGACACCAACTCCCTCATCAACAGCGCCTACCACGAAGACGTGGCAGCCCAGCCCCCCTTCTGGAGGAGCAACACGTCCCCAGCACCTCCGTTCCCTCTCCCCGTCGACATGAGCATGTGGCTACCCTCCGACTGGTGGGACGCCGACAGCAATGCAGCCATCCCAAGTCCTGCGAACCCTCTACCTTCCCAGCAACACCTCCTGCTCCCCTGGGCCGGCACGACAACACCATCGACACCATCGTCATCCCCCTGCTCGCCCGTGGACGCGCAGCCGACACGACAGCAGCTGCCGCCTTTCCCCGGGCCGACGTCCTCCCCGACTCCGCGGAGCGTCGACGCCGAGCGGGCCCGGAGAGACGAGTTCCTCATGCGCTGCCGTGCGGGGGGGATGAAGTACCGTGATGTCAAGAGGTTGGGAAACCTCCCCGAGGCGGAGTCGACGCTCCGTGGACGGTACAGACTTCTCTTGTCGACCAAGAAGAAGGGGAGATCCAAGTGGACACGGCAGGACGTGAGCTCTCTTCCCACTCCCGCTTTATATATCCGCTCATCGCCGCTGACCCCCCCCCCTCCTAGGAAGAGCTCCTCACTGAGGCGGTGGGCCGGTCTATCAAGATGCGCAAGAATGGTCTGGCTAGAATCTCGTGGGCCGATGTCGTCAAGGATATTGGCGAGAGGGGAATCTCCTATCCGTTTGGGGTCATGGCTTGCCGAAAGAAGTGGGAGCAGTTGACGAGGAATGATTAGGCCCTGATTGGCCGTTCCGTGCATCACGACTTGGCGAATTTCTAGGGTTGGAAAGGAGGGAGGGCATCATGCATTACGTATTCATGAATCATGTTGAAGAATATGGGGGACAGAGGAAACACGATGGAAATGTTACAACCTGACCTTTTCGACGGGAATGCCAATGTGACTCAGGATAGCAGCAAGTTCATCCTTATTTCCCCTCAGCGCATCCCACTCAGCCTCACTCTTGACGAGGGCCGTACCAGCCAGGACCGTTCCATTCAGTGCCAGGGAACCAACAACGTCTCCCTTGTCGTCCGTAACCCTACCGCCCTCTGCGACTCGGGGCACCAGCGCGAGCGTGCTTTTGGTCATGGCGAGGTTATAGCTGACCAGGGTCTCTCCCTCGTCGGGCGCGTCCCCCCGCTGTCCGTCGGTGGCGGCCGACACGGCCCGTCGATATAGCCGGATGTACGCGTCGTGAAGCTCTCCCTCCGACGTGTCCAGGTTGATGCTCTCGGTGAACACGGCGAACGGCGGCCTAGCAGAGGGCGACCCGAGCCCGTCGACCAGGACGGACCACGCGCCACCGCCCTGCTCCAGGCCATCTCTCATGCGCTCCACGGGCAGAAGCTGGATATGCCTATGCGGCTGGCTGGCACCGGAGTGCTGCCCGCAGTTGAAGAAGGCGAACAGCTCCTGTCCGCGGTCGTGGTACGCCGCGATGCAAGCCTGCGTGGCAGCCAGATCGTCCGCCTCGAGCAGGTGCGTCTGCGGCTTGAACGCGCGCGTCGCGAGGATGAAGTGCTCCGGCACGACGGCGAACTTGTTCAGCACGAGGACGTGCGCCGGCTCTAGGTCTGCTATGCGTAGCGGCGCGGGTGGGTCGTCGAACGGGTCGAACGGTTTGGACGACGGTTCGCGCGGCGGGCCCTTGGGCTTATTGGCTAGGGACGGGGAGAAGCGCAGTTGGAACTGGACTCACCTTGTGGTTAGTTGACGAGGAATGGTT